CGCCAGGATTTATACCCGAAAATGTTACATTTAAAAACAGACAAATAGGTTGAACCGGATACCCGAAAGGGGCCTAGTTATTGGATTTGGATCAATGGTTTAACGTGATGACCAATCATCCTGATCACTCGGAGGATTGTTACCACTCGCATAACATTCCTATATATAAGTCTGGAAAATCGTTTCTTTCACTTGTTTTAAGATTTAGAGCCGTTCCAGTTGGCTCATAGCTAATGAAATAGTGGTAACAGCAGAAATAATGTTGACTCACTAGAAACATTTATGTGTGGTAGGTTGGCTCAGACGCAGAGGGGGAGGCCCGAAGGTACTTTGTGCACGCCTTGACTTTGAGGGACACGCTGAAGTTTCTGAGGTACAATAAGGACCTGACATTTGAGAGCGACACCAAGACTGGTCTGGCTGTCGACCTGATCCGTTGTGAGAGCCTGTTGGGTCTGGATCCCGCGACTAGAGCCAGAGTTTTAAACAGGAACTATGAGTAAGTCTGATAGGAGCTATGGTATGCTACCAACTTCTTTGGCAGACCAAGGGTTGTGTTCACAACATATATGGCCACAGAAATGTACTATTGTATAGAGAGACGGTCACATAGAAGCTTAGCTATAGACTTCTTTGACTGGAGTTGTGTTCATTACAGAGGAATATTATGTCAAATAGGAACTGTGCTATACTTTACACTGACAAGGATTGTGTTCACTATACAGTATCTACAGCTCCAGACAGAATACTTAGTGTGGTAGAGGCTGTCTGATAGGAACTGTGTTATACTTTACACTGACAAGGATTGTGTTCACTATATAGACTTTACTGTAACCAGAGTTGTGTTCACTGTATATACACCTACAGAGAAATACAAAGGCGGGTAGTCGCTATGCTTCACTATGGCTAGGGTTGCATTCACTCATGAATCATTTATAATCATCGGATTAAATAATTTTGAGATAGTTGAATTTATCACTGACTGCCCTCATGATTTAACGAGGTAAAATAAAGGTAAACAGCCTTACAATCAGGATTCATAAGTTTGACCAGCTTGAATAAAAGAATCACTGACATGAATGTGCGCTGCATTAGGTACTTTGTACATGTAAACTCCAACTGTATTGAGACAATGAGTATATATGATAAAATGTTTAATGCAGTATATTTTATATGCTGAAATAGGATGTCTTCATGTTTCAAACATAAAAAAATTCCAACTGTGAATTTTAACGGTGGTGAAATACATGTAATATTATGCAGGTTGCTGGTTTCCATGGCACCCTTGAGCTACGAGATCAAGCCGGTGAGCAGTTGTACTCCCCAACATATAGGACCGGCTGTACCAGAGGTAGGCAGACTCCACACTTAACACTGCCATAATCAGATAGCTGACAAAGTTTCCGACTCTCCCTTTCCCATTGTGGCTTGTATTCTGACAACGGTTCAGAGATTCCTTTCCCCGTTGTGTTCCATACACTGTAAGGTTTCTCACAGACTGATTTTCGAAACATACAATGCCAAAACAATCCCATGCAGAAGAAAATAAGATATGTAATCAGTTGAAGAAATGTTTGCATAAAAAAAGTAAAGTTTCATGTCAGTAGACCTCAGAACTTTTTTGAAAATAGCTCTAGGGAAAAGGGCCTCAATGATGAACAAGAGTAGCAGATCCCATACATAATGGTAGATTTTGTATGACATGGTTATAAAGCCATGCTTCACATTTATTGTAGATTTCACACTCAAAAATAGGCAATGGCATATTTAATTCTACTGTATTTTCAATAATTTACTTTTAAAGGCAAGAGGAAATTTAATATGTATGTTTCAGTTTATATGACTTGAAAAGATAGGGTAGGTTGGTAGGTTGTTTTTTTTTCTTTTTTCTTTCGTTTTTTTTGAGGAAGGGGGCTTATTTAAAAAATGACAAATTTGATTCATGCCTGTGAAATACTTGAGAAGCATCATAAAGATGCTGAAGATGTTCAGCACATTCAAAATGGACATTTAGGTGCATTCAAGTGAGATAAATTGTAATGGTCGGAGTTAAAAACTGGGGTTAGCCAGGGTACCTGAATTTGAAGCATACATTTTTTTGGCCTAATTGTTTGTACAAAAATGTACAATGTATTTGTTTAAAAAAACATACAATAAAAGAATGGTTGAGCCATTGACTGTCTAGTTTGTTGGCTATTGTATTATGTTAATTCATGTCTTTAGAATCACCTTTATGGTTTTCATTATTTAGTAGATATCAAATAAAATGATGGTTTATTGTTCCTACAGGTGAATTCTGTGTGGTTTAAGTTGTTCCTGTATAACCTAACAAAGTGTGGTCCCCCTTCACTTCTCCTGGTCAAAGGGACGAAACTACGCAAGCTACCCGCAATATTCCACGTAAGTTTATACATCGAAATGAAGATAGCTCTCCACGATTAAACATGGTAGAAGTTTTGGTTAAAATGATTACCCAGAGGTCTAGGATGATGATAATTGGCTAGTAGTATAGCATGTTTGAATGAAGGGCTATCAAGTTTGTTCAACTGAATGACCTTGATCCACTTTAAAAGGCCACAGGTATCCAGTGTGTTGAAACATTTTCAACACCTTTCGCAGAACAACCAAGAGCAGTCTGATACTTTGTCTGTAGATTAATGGTGTGAAGTGCTATGAACTGTTGGATCTGAAAGAATGACCTTGACAAACTTTGAAGGTCACATAAATAAAAAAAGTTTAAATTTTCCACTGAAATTCATAAGGTATAGAGAAATAAAGTCTTTCGAAAAACATTCATTATGTGTAGAGCATTGATATTTAGAATATTTACATAAATTGACCTTGACAATTGGAAAGTCTCAGGTTTGAGGTGAATAACAGTAGAATAATACCGGCCCAATGGGCCTCTCGTTATATGATACATAAAAGTAATGAATTTATAAAGAGGTTTTACCATTGCTTGATATAGATAAAAATTAGTGCTAATGATTATAATTTCTGTGTTTGCACAAGTTTTGTATGTAATTGTACATGTTTTTTTTTT